GCCACATTTCCATCAGAGGGATTATTGAGTGTCCTGATAACAGGAGCACTGCACTGAGCGAACACGTAGTGCTATCGATCATGTTGTTGTTGTGGATGTCGTGTGTGTGTGTGTGTGTGTGTGTGTGTGTGTGTGTTGTCTGCGGTCATGGACAATAACACTTCTCACAGTAATGGGCGGCCCTGAGAGGCAGGAACTGGAGTGACATATTTGGGAAGATATTGAATTGTATCAGCTCTGCTCCACGCCTCTCTTCCGGCCATGAGTGTGATTGTCAACATGTGACCTTTCAAAGAAATTAATTAAAGACCCACTACCAAAATGTCTGCAGCGCCAGTATTGCTATTACTTCAGTGTTAAACACTTTTGTAATTTTACAATTTTGCATTCATTTCAGGTTCAACAATCCTACAGAATATTATTCAATCAAAACATTGCAAGACATTTTGGAAACACATGCTCACAAATTAACACTGGTGATATTTAATCTTAAGGTTACTATCAAAAAATCCCTTAAAGAGATCAAAACCAGTATTTAAATAATCCTATGAAAAGGCATTATCTCTATATATTTATCTCTGACCTATACAGTATGTCAAGCTTTAGCTGCGGACTAAGTTAATAAAATCCAACTCAAAGTGTTTAAATAAAATGAGATCTATTCATTATTTTTTAAATTCTAATGTAGGTTGTCTGATCGAACATCGCAGGCATCCACTAAGAGCTGTTGTCCTCCGACCTAAAGGCACAAACATTCAGGCATGATTTTACAGCTTTCAGGGTCAGAGGTCAGTAGAAATGATCTGGAGCTGTGGATGTAGCCTGGGGTCTTTGTGGCCCCTGTGTCCTGAACCAGCAGATGGGCTGTGAGTGCGGGCCGTCCCGAGGTCAACACAAACACAGAAGCCTCCCAGAGGACAGCCACTATGTAACCACTCAGAACAACTGGATGGAAGTACAAGCACAACAGACATGTGGACGGCTGTGCGCAAACCAAACAAAGGCTAAGGCAGAGCGCTGTAAATGACATGATATGAATGTTATTTATCACAAATAGGAACACACAGCTCACAGCAACGCTTAGCTCTATAGGTGCAGACTAAGCGTGTGCAGAGAGGGCAAAGAGCTTTGATCGGATTCCACTTTCGCTCCATCCCGAGTGGACGTCCATTAATATTCCTTCTCCAGTTACATAAGCCTGCCATACAGAATATAATGCCATTATGCTGCCCTAAGGGATATGGGCAGATATACAGTGCTGTTGAGAACAGTGGTTGTGATTTCTCTCAGTAATCACTGCACTAATGCAGATTTCCACTGACCAGAATAACTATCCCTCCATCTTATCTCCACAGGCTGAAGCCTATAGATACATACACCCTAATTGTCATAGTTTCCCCCATAATTAAGATGTGTTACTCTTAAGTTGTATGCTACTCATAAACGTAAGCAGCGACATGGCTACAACCAAATCATCCAACATTTTACAACCTCAAATTTACATTTTGTTATGGAAAACTAAAAGAGTAGCAATAAATGGGAGTCAGGAGAAAGTAAAAGTAAACATCATTTTGTGTTCAATAAATGTTTTTCAGTCTCAACATAACATAAGATCAATGAGGTTGGGAATTACTGATCCAAACCTCTTCATTTAGAGGTAAAATCCAAAGAAGGCCAAATTCTGATGATAAAACATCACACAAGAAAATGTGTGTGTGTGTGTGCGTGTGTGTGTGTGCGTGCGTGTGTGCGTGTGTGTTAATTAAGTAGTGTATAATTGGTCAAGTCACTCGAGAAAAAATGATGGGGAGACCGGCCGCTACAACCTGCAAACTAAGGATCTTGGTACCACGCCATGTCAAGCAATTACAAATAAATAAATGTGTTTTTTCAGAATCAGGTTGTATAAGCAGTCATTTACGTTTTCTTTTTATGAATACTAACATTAGATATGTCCCATAAGTTATATTTTGAAGAGAGTTAAGCTTGCTTAGCCATGTACCAACGTCTGACAATACAGGTTTTTAGCTTGATTGGATGTTTTTATTAACATTACTGCTTTCCCTGACCTCAGAAAACAACTTTTTGTTGTTTAATATCTTTATTACTTACTAATTATAAAACATTACTACAAAAAAAGGACAACAGTCTATTTGCAGTTAAACAGGCAGTTGTGCTGTCGTGATCCAGTGAGGCAGATACAACCCAGAGATGTTTGGTTAAAGCATTTAGTAGACCTTTTTGAATTGTATGAGCCCTCACATAACACCCACACACCACAGCACTCAGAGCCAATCGATGCAGACAGAGAGGGCAGGCTGGTGACCGAGAGAGTAGAAGAGAAGACAGAAAGACAGACAGGGATAGAAAGGCATTGAACATGCAGTAGATTAGTGTTGTTGCTGCCCTTGGGCAACAGAGCATGGAGGACAATTAGCAGCAGGAGAGACCATTCTGACTCTGATATCTCTCACGAATAAATGCATACTCTTTATTAAATCATAGCCTTAGACACCTGCATGCATCAAGTGAAGAAAACTGCAGGCAAGACAAAACGGTTTGTGTTTAATGATGACTAAACCTCTCCTGTGTGAGGCCTGCGCCCTTCACTGTGGTTATATAACTGAAGTCCAGCCAAGTTACATCTCGCTGTCGGGGTTTCAGACACTGCAGATCAGTCAGTCTGACTAAGGGAGCGGAAATGTATCAAAATACACTTCTGAGTTTCAATGTATTCATATTTTGACAGAACAGAGAAAGACTAAACTAAGTGCAACTGAGGAAATAGTGAGGAAGAAAGCATTATACTTTGTTGGAAAATAGAGCAGAAACTCGCTCCATTTCCATGTTGAGTGTTAAATCCATCAAATGTGTTTATGTCCCAGGGCTGCTGTACACCCTTTTTTATTATTGAAGATATTAAACCCACTGTCACATACATAAGCCCCCCCACCCCCTCCTACCAGGCCAAAAAGGTCCGAAGCTGTTCTTTATAACCCTCCTCTTCAGGTAGCCAGGCCTCTGCACCCAATTGTCACCAGGGAAACCAGATAATAGCTGACAGGGTTTACCCAGAGACAATGCAAGGGTCCGGGGGAGAGAAAGGGTGAGATAAAGACCATCACTTTCTGATAGTTATACATCTCAATATGAGGAGCAGTGTGGATTTGTGAGTGTGGATTTGTGAGTGTGGATGTTCATACAAAGATAGGATTGCAATAGGGACGCAGGGTGAGATATTTGTGTAGGCTGACCAGGAAGTTTGCATCGGAGTTTGGTTCTTTCGACAAATGAAATGAAATTCTTCCTTTGGATTTGGGATTATTGCTGTAATAAGACCTTTGGCAAACACAAGTTTGATTGATTTGTTCTGCAAGATAATTTACAAGTCAACACCACTTTTATCATTTTTTGAGTGATTGTAAAATTCTAAAAGCTCACACATCACAACCACTTACTGTAGCTAATGCGTAATGACGTTTAATGTCCCAACAGCCAATTGAATCTCATTTAGCCACTTGTTAGCAACAGCCTTTCTTAGCACACATTAAAGCATCCAAATTAACAGGTGGGGTATTTAGTGAACAATGTCAAATATAACAAAATGTTAAAATGTCTTGTGTTAACAGCTTCCTTATTTCAGGCATCTAACAAGGAACAATAAAACATTGACTTAGATATGAGAGGACCAGAAGTGCCAAAAAAGCTGACTTCTTTTCAGGTTGTGACTTGTGTGAACATATTAGATACATATCTTTAGGTGTAGCAACATCAAACATGTTATCAGTTCCAGATAACTGGGCTAACTCCGCCTACTGAAGAAGATCATGTGATCAGAAGCTGTATCTTGTGATGAGATCAACATCAAAGTGAAGCATGTTACACCAGCTGAACATCATGGAACAAAAGAAGAGCCGTCTGAAAAATCACACACCTTTTTTTTCAAAGTCTTAAAAATAGGCAGTAATTAGATCTCAGTGGAGAATTAAAAATAAATGATTTCTACTTTATCAATGTGGTCCCCCCTGCAGTCACCAGCCTTCCTGCCTCTCTCTCTCTCTCTCTCTCTCTGTTCTGGTCTAAATTTAAGCAGCAGAACACACAGAACCCACAGAACCCTAGACTCATCTCATGTTTCCTCAACAAATAACACGCAGGGTAGGCTATCACTTGTATGAACATGCATCTGTGTCAAACACCGCATGTCTCCATTAGCAGCTTTTGTCTGGAATCTAGAGCAGACATGGGATGGATGCAGACAAGATGGGGAGTAAGTCATACTAATAGACTTTAACACTGACTCTACATGCAGGCTGCTGTTATGTACCATGTCTAGACAAGTTTGTCGTGCACATTGCGTAACACTGGCAGTACTGTTCAATTCAATATATAGGCAGTTAAGGACACTGGGGTGGAACATTGATTTGTTTTATTATAAACATCGTTAGAAAAGAAGCTGAGGAAAGCTCCATGATGTGATGAGTTCAAATGAATACAAACCATCCCATAAAAACAATGAAATCAGATAAAAACATATAGAAAACAATGTTAATGTTATACAAGAGCAGACTTAAAGTGTACCTATCATGCTATATTTGAATAATATAGTGTAGGACCATACCTATATAAGGCATATTTATACTTTTTTTTTTTCAAAATACCAAACAGATCATGCATTTCAGCCATGCCTCATTTTGCTCAATTTGACAATTTCTAGCTCTGTTTTTGCAAGGGCTGATTCAGTGAGAACAGCACCATCTACAGGCCTGGCATATGTACTACAGCGTCTCCAGCGCTTTCGAACGGCAATGGCCGTGGCTGTCTCCTCCTGATTGGTGGAGTTGGCCCAATAGCCGTAGCGCCACCGTCCTGACGTCAGGACAGTGTTCAAATCTGGATCAGTTTTTATCAGATCCGTTGCAGCCCCTTTTTTAGAGATTTGGGTATGGAGGAAAATAGAGAGGGTTGTGTTTTCTGACACTTGGTGAGTTCCCTGGAACACCGGGGACACATATTCATGTATAAAAGACGTACAAAAGTGCATTTTGCATGATAGGTCCCCTTTAAATCAATCTTTGTTGACATTTTGTGTGTTAAGATCTGTATCTTGAAAGTGACCCTTTCTGTATTTGTTAACATGACGGGATAAAGAAAGGTCAAAGGTCAGTTTGGGTAGTGTATATTTTCACACACCAAATTAACTTTTTGTTAAAAACACTTCATCGTTGGCTAGTGCCAGCGCTGTATTACATTTCATTTATTTAAAATAGTGAGTTGGGTTTTGGTTTTCCAAAGATGCTGTTATTTAGAATAACTTTTGTTTCATTAGTTTGGTTAGTTTGGCGTTTCCCTGTTGTACAGTCCCTAAATGTAAAGAGACCCTTTTGTCAATGGAAATGATAAGTCTCAAACATGATTTTCTCCCCGGTTTAAAAATGTTTCTTGCTCCAGTTCTTCTTTTGGCATGTGACAACTGCAAATTAAAATTGTTTTAGAAAATCCAGTTATGTTAAGTCAATATTAGACAGGAAGTCTTCCTCATCTTCGCTTTGTGTGGCGATCATGGGAGGTGGGGCTTTTCTGTCCTCCAGTATCTTCTTCTCCAGAGCTGCATCTTCAGGACTGAGCCCCTCTCCTTTGGTCATTACGTACACAAAATATTCAAAGCCTTCTCCGTAACTGTACTCGTTAATCGACCAGTTGTACTCTGTGCGAGCATAGAGGCGTTTCCTGAACAGGGGGTTGGCAAACGTTACAGAGACAAAGCGTCCTCCTGGTTTCAAGCAGCGACTAATCTGAAAGAAAGAGAGAAAGAGAATTAAAAGACATCACCACCAAGATGCACACCATTTTAATTCCCTCTGTCAATGCCAGCAACCTCAACCTCATCCGTAGGATCTCTCCAATCAAGCGCATAGCCTTGCATCGCTGTAAGCCTGAGCGAACGTTAAGCACAGAGCTTTTCAGTCCACAAGTTTGGTTCCCTAGCCATGCAGTCTGATAACATGTTGTGACAGCACTAAAACTTCCCCTCCATACTGTATGAATTATTGCTGTTCTGGGTCCATCAACACTCTGGTGTGTTCATCCTGCGTGTGAGGTTCACATGTGCATCAGGACACAATAAGCTTCAGAGGACTGCAGAGCTATGACAGTACACACAAACACACATTGTGAAAATTGACACCAACACAAGCAAGCAGATACACATTTAGGTAGGCAGGGAGTTTCTCCAGAGACAGAAGTGTGTGGGAGTGAAGGAACAGAGCCTGCAGAGCAAGGAGCGACAAACTTTTCACATTGTACAACCAAAGGTGTAAACTGGGTCAACATCGCATTGTTAGGGAATGGTCGCAGGCAAACAGCAATAGGCATTTCCAGTCAGTGAACATGATCCTACAGACATACGGCGACACTTTGGTAATCAGCATAGACTGTATAAAATATGTCCGTAGTCTCTCTGACATCCCCCATAGATTTCAGTCAAAGCTTGATGGAGGTGGCTCCAGCTGTCACCATACTCACGGTTAATGCAAAACATCAGTGGAGCAGACAGCTAGTGTCATACAAAAATCACTGTATTGAAGACTTGGTAGTCTAATTGTACTTTTTTAAAAACGTATCTTTCACTGTTGAAGGCCGGCAGTTAGGTTAACGTTGATAAAACTTCCAATTTTCGAATGACTTGCAAACATTACCACCACTTACTGTAGCTAATGGGTAATGACGTTTAATTACTCAACAACCAATTGAGTCTCATTTAGCCATTTGTTAGCAACAGCCTTTCTTAGCACACATACAAGCATCCAGGTATTTAGTGAACAATGTAATGTCAAATATAACAAAATGTTAAAATCTCTTGTGTTAACAGCTGACCTTATTTCAGGCATCTAACAAGGAACAATAAAACATTGACTTAGATATGAGAGGACCAGAAGTGCCAAAAAAGCTGACTTCTTTTCAGGTTCTGACTTATGTGAACATAATTATCTTTAGGTGTAGCAACATAAAAAATGTTATCAGTTCCAGATAACTGGGCTAACTCCGCCTACTGAAGAAGATCAGTAGATAACGTTGATAAAACTTCCAATTTTCTAATGACTTGTTTAAGATGATAAAATCACAGTTGTGGCCTTGGGCTTCAGACTTCACATTCAAGATTTGGGGCTTTCAAATTGGAAATCAACACCAAAAGTAATTTTTTACGAGCTAATACCTGAGGCCCTAATGCTACACACTCAATGTAGATACACAAGATGGATGGATACAATATTGACAGGCTGCTGCATGGTCTCTGAAGATGGCTTGGTTTTGAAGTCAGAGGAACTGGTCATGAAAGTTGGGATGTCATACAACCAGGATTGAGTAGTTTTAGTCTGTACAGTAAAGTTGTGACCCCCCCCCCCCCCCCCAACACGGTCCTGCAGTATTTGGAGAGAGGAGTCGCTCTGAAGCGAGCATGAGTATCCTGCTCTTCTCACATGATTCATCTTCACCAGCAAGCAGCCCGACCATGAATTATTCACTCTGCACTGTGACACGGAGGAAAAGCGAGAGGAAGGGTGGAGGGGTCTCTGAATATTGGATGAAATTAGTGGCTGATCTAGATTAGAAAGTGTCTGACAAAAACATGGCAAAGAGTTGAAAGAATGTACGGATGAAGCCATGAGAAATCAATCAGTTAACATCTTCTTCAAAACCTTGTTTTAACTTTTCAAGGTGCTCAAGAAAAACTGATCTTCAACTTCATAATATAGCCAGGCTATGGCTAAGAAACAAACTTTGAACTAATTGACTAAAGCTCGATAAAAACATGATCAATACTTCTCAGACTGAAACTGGAGTACTTCCAATACCTACATCTTTTCCCATTGCCCTCAGACTCTGCATTCATATATAGATATGTTATTGTACAATTTCAAAGTTTTCAAAGTTTTTTCCCTCCAAATATTAGCATGGAAAAATGTCAAGTTTAGGACCAAACATAAAAAAGTGACATCTTTCCATTTTAACCTTAAAATGACATTATGACAGTTTCCTTAGAAGGCCAGATCTAATGACAGATTGCTGGAAATAAAAAAAGTCAAAGTCCGGTACAGGTGGAAGCCTCCGGAGGCTTTGGTGAGTGAGGTAACCGGAGGTGGGGTTAACAAAGGTCATCCTCCTTAGCCCACCCCTTAAGCCATTATTCATGCCACGGGGATGTATGGGTGCACCGCAGGCTGTGTACCTGTGCAGTGTAACTTCAGAGCCTGATGTCACTGCTGACTGAAGGACCTACGTCACTGCAACCCAAGACCAACCTGAACCACAGCAGAGAGCTCGGCTTCAACTCAGACTACGTGTTAGCTCGGTCGACAGTCTGAGGACGGCCACGACCGTATTTTGTTCTTTTGTTTAATTCTGTTTCAGACCATTTCAAACCAACTGACACACATAATGTTATCCCAACCAACAGCATGTGTTTCCAGCATAGATTGTTAACCACGCTTGGCATGGACACAAATGTATCCTTATCAAGAGGAGGATGATGCATTGAGTGTGGTGAGTCATACTGTATATACTTACAGTAGGCACGTGTACTACTACAAAAGCTCTGGTACTATCATCAACACACACATTGGAGTGGAGCTTTTACTACGGTAAAGGATCAACAGTGACAGGTCTGTTTGGTTGTGATGTTGTGAAAGCTACAGATAAACATTTCATTTAAAGAAAAGCAAGAGGTCTTTTTTTCCTGGCATGCAGATAAGCTCTAATGTATTTAAAAATGGAAAACTGGCTCAGGTAGAGTCGCTTTTCTTAATCAACAGGTGGAGGCTCGCTGGCTGTTTCACCCAAAACACTGGAGTAAGGAAACCACATCCCCAAAACACTGAGTCAGTTTTCAACATCCACTCTCAGTCCAACATCTGTAAGCTGATCCTAAGTAGGCCACAGGGCTTCTCCAAGAGGACAGAGGAAACCACTCTGTTAGCACCCATCTTCACACAGTCACACAGAAACCATTCCTCAAAACACACACACACACACACACACACACACACACACACACACACACACACACACACACACACACACACACACACACACACACACACACACACACACACACACACACACACACACACACACACACACACACACACACACACACACACACACACACACACACACACACACACACACACACACACACACACACACACACACACACACACACACACACACACACACACACACACACACACACACACACACACACACACACACACACACACACGACAGGATTAGCTAAAACACGCAGGCAGCTTCACGGCCTCTCCTGAATTATTCAGTGTCGAAGTGACCTGCCCTGCCTGGAGTACGATGCAACAAAAAGGTAATAGGAGTAGTTTGGATCCCCACGAGGAACTCCAGGTAATCCCACTGGCATTTTAAGATGTTTAGGGATATTTTCATCACATGAATTCCACTGTATATGAATCCAAGTATAACTATTGTAGCTAGTTATTACTCTTAATCACATTTTCTAAATATTTCCTTATGTGCCACCATACATTGAATTAGATTGGTAGAAATGATCAAAATGCTTGCACGAGAAAGCCTTGAAATATTTACTTTTTATGTTAAGGAATAATTCTTCTAGATATCTAACCTTTTGCTCTGTGACGTTTTATGATCTACTCTGACGTCTGTTATCTCCTTTAAGGAAAGGCATTGGTGCCATATGTGTTGTTGTTACCAGTTTGTGACCGGTCAACTTGTCTGGCACGAATGGTAATTGTTGTGAGAGCGCTGAGGCACTTCTTTATCGGTGTTTGTGGACTCTAGGATGTGAAATCTTTGAGGCCATGAGTGTCGGACGCAGGTGGCTCAGTGTTCCCAGCTGTTTAGTCTACTCCTTCAGAGATGTTGATTACTCTCTGTGAACCAGTTAAAAGGTCTAGCATAGAGAGAGGCTCTTCAGAATTGACGTGGCAACTCTACCGTGAAGTCGGAACCTCTGACTCTTTGATTTGTGATGTGAATCCTCCGGCCGAATACTCTGAATAAACCCATCAGTGTTTGACATCAAAAGCTCCAACTCTCACCATGTCTCCTTCCTGAGTCGGTGACTCCATGCATTGCTACACAGAAGTTTCCCCCACATTTTATATGTCAGACCAAGTCCCTGTGTGACCTTTTGAATGAGTGAAAATGAAGATAGAAGCTGTCGGTGAGAATGACATTTATTCGAATCTGTAGGATTTCTTTCTCCAGCTGTGTGTCCTCAATATCTCCAATCCATTGCTTTGTCTTTCTCTCTTTACAGAACTGCAATAATAATATTCATCCTCTTGTATCTCCATTCTCTTCTTTCTGAGCTCATGTTGGCCTGAAGATACTGTACATGAGATAACTGATTGTCTACGGTGGTCAGACGGGGACAGGTGGTCACATTGTACTCAGTGATATCACTCCGAAGGACCTTTGAGTTACGTAATTCTGGGTTCATCTGAGATTGCAAAAGGTAAAAGGTTGTCGCTACTGAGGCAGTAAGCGCCCACGGTATCATTCTTTCGTATTCCCCTGCAGCAGTGGCGGTGCCAGGGTATGGCTGGGGTAGGCTACAGCCATACCAAGAAATAGCTTAGCCCCACCTTAGCCCCACCATGAAAAATGATGTTAAAGTAAGCAAAATAAAGTCCGCCAACTCGCGTGGAGTAAATTGCACAGACAGCAGTTAGTAAGATTGATTTCAGTAGCCACTTGTCTGGAAATACCGAAGACTAGAAACAGTTTTGAAAACTTT